CCCCCACCCCGTGATTTTCAAGCTTCTGGGTCCAGGATTTGAACTGTACAGTCAGCTATGTGGGATCCAGCACTTAACCTCCATGCCACCTTCTGGCCCACAAGGTCCATCTGCTGGCCCACAAGGTTCATTTCTTTCTTACTTTTTTTCTTTCTCTCTCTCTCTCTTCCTTTCTTTCTCTTTCTTTTTCTTCTATGTTTGATCAGAGAGGGACAGAGTGAGAGCGAGCAAGAGAGACAGAAAGTGAGAAAGCAAGCCACCAGGTTCAGGACTAGAACCATGGTCACTCATGTGGGAGTCCAGTGTCCTTAACCACCATGCCACCTGCCAGCCTTGGTCCATTTCTTAATAACCAAATCAGTCATTATACATACTTTTTAGGAAAAAAATGTTTAATCTTCCAGGAGGAGTTATCATTCAGCCCTATAGACGTTAAAGCATTTTGCATTCAAATGGCTTTATATATTTCTTTATGGAATAGAAGGAAAATTTAATGTGGCATTAAAAAGTTGGTAGATGTAATTCAATATATTCATATATATGTCTTAATCATTTTTGTATGCAATTGTAAAGTACCACATTTCTCATTTACAAATTTGCCAAATTTTTATTAAGAGACCTTGTGAAGATAAAGAGCTGATATACAGGGAAGCACAGGAGTGTGTGTGTTTCAAAGTGGAAGCAGAGTTATGTATATTTTTGCAAAGGACAAAGCTGTTTAGCCTCTAGCAGAGGTTGTCAAACCTATCATGGCACAGTTCTCACATTGCCCAGGAATTTATTCTTCCCCTGATAAGTATGGACCACTATTTTGACTGTTCACCTGTAGGATGGTGTTCATGTCCATCACAGCTTGCCAGTTATTTTAGCAGGCCTATTGGGTCAGCAATGGGAGTAAGCAGGAGTAAGTGGACTGATGCAAATTATAATTCCCAAAATAACTCTTAGTAGGCTGTCCAGCTTAGAGGGACTTAATATCCCATCTTTGAATATTAATTTTATATACATATAAAATGTTTATTTTTAGGATGAAGTTTATTTTTCTTTTTTTTTTCAAATTTTTTCTTTATAAGAGGTTTTCGCTATAGGGCACGTGCACTCACCAGACAGACAGACAGAAAGTGAGAAATCACCCCCCAGAGGGGATGGTCATGCTGCAATCCCTTCTCCATTCTCCTGTCGGAATCTTGTGCACGCACGCCCGGAGTGAGTTTTAAGCCACTGGGTCCAGGACATGAACCGCGGTCGACTACGTGGGAGTCCAGTGACATAGCCATTACGCTAACTGCTGGTTCCCTCCTTTTTTT